CACTCAAGAGGATCAAAGCTTCTTTAAGAGATCATTTTAGCCTTACCTGCAAATACCATGAGGCCTACTTCAGATGATGGTTCCCATTCCAGCTGAGCCTTTTAAATTTTCACTAAAAAAATGCTGTACGCTCTGATACCTCCTCTCCAGGCTCCCCAGCCACACTGCCTCCGTCTGTGATCTGGGCTCAGCGGCATTGGCTTCACCTGGAGCTGGTGAGCAATGCAGGCTCTCAAGCCCCACCTCAGCCCTACTGATTACACTCTGCATTTTAACAAGATGCCCAGGTGACTCATGCACGTTAGCACTTCAGAAGCACTGCTTCACAGTGTCTGCTGCTTTTTAATTACCAACACCATCAGCAGGTTTCAGGAGCCAGGAGAAATCAATCCTGGACTAAGTCAGCCTGAGACGGGCACGTAAGGGGCCACCTAAGTCCTTTTCGTGCAGTTTATGAGCTCTTGCTCCCTGTTACATAATAAGAAAGAAAGAATCCTGGACTATCTTGATGTCGAGGAAAACTGGATTTAATTTTTATCTGACTGGCTGAACTATACCTCCAATTAAATATTCATGTATCTCCCCAGTTTGGTGTTTGGGCATCATAAGCAAATAACAGCAGATGAATATACAACTTACACTTCCCTTAGTACAATTCTGTATTCAAATATATTCTCATCATTTGTGAAAGACCTCTTACGAGATTAAATACTGTTTTCAGAAGTGCTAGTGACTTACATGTGAAGCCACCATATACTGGGTTAACACACCAGGCATTGTGCTGAGTCCTTTGCATACATTATCTAATTCACCTGAAGTACAAACCACTAGAACTATTCTACAGGTAAGATGAAGCTCACAGCTTAACAACTCGTCTAAAATCACGCATCTATTAAATTAAGACAAACCTCAGATGTAAATCCAAAGCAAAACCCGCACTAACTGTAACTATTAAGCCTGTGCATTCCTTAGAATGCTCTCACTGTAAGATTGAGTTAAATGGGCATTAAATGCTGAGAGAATTCCTGCAAAAATAAAATATCTGACCTGGCATAGCAGATGTCACCCAGACTTATTTGCTCATGAAGTCCTTGCCTTTCCCCCAAACCTTTAAACAACTGTTAGGTCACCCTTTCAACATGCATGATGACGTATCAAACTTTACACTTTAAAAATGTTTTTGGAATCCCCTAGCACTCAAAAAGTTTAAGGCAAAACAATTCAAGGCACTCAAGAAGGAATTCAAATGCTTGCATGTCAAGGTTATAAGCAGAACCAGTAACCCAAGGAATTATTTCCATATTGTCAGAGATGCTTTCCTTAAAAAAATGCAGGGACTTTCTAGGGTACTAAGAATCCAAATGGGGAAAATAAATTAAGGTGTTATACAGGTATTTTGAGAATACACAGGTATAATACATAGATATTATTTTGAAAAGATATAAAATACTTTTACGAAAGCTAACAGTCCTTATCCTAGGAAAGTTAGAAAATTAGTTTGTTCCAATAGTCTTAAGATTACACGACAGGTATACTATTCCAAAAGATACCAGCTCTAAGAATACTCTTGTCTTAGGAGATCAAGACTTACAAGAAAGAAAAGATTTCTAGAGGCAGTCATATAATCTGCACAGATAGTCTGTGCTAGTCAGCACAGACTCGAACTGCGTTTGAACCACATACCAATATAAACACCAAGGAACATTTTTAGGTCTTCTAAAAGCAAGCAGTAGTAATATTTAATAAATAAAGCATTGAGCCCTGGCTGGTGTGGCTCAGTGGAATGAGTGCCAACCTGCAAACCAAAGGGTCGCTGGTTCAATTCCCAGTCAAGGCACATGCCTGGGTTGCAGGCCAGGTCCCCAGTAGGGGGTGTGTAAGAGGCCACCACACGATGTCTCTCTCCCTCCCTTTCTCCTTCCCTTCCCTCTAAAAATAAATAAAATAAAATATAAAATAAAATAATATAAAATATAAAATAAAGCATTGAGTTCAGATAGGTTAAACAAAGAAATCTAGGGGGAAAATAAAAGAATCTTATTAAAAGTATTTTGTAACTACCCACAGGCAGTCAGACTCGACTGGTGTCTAATTCATGCACAGCACATTTCAATTTATTTTCATTTTAACAGTATTCTACAATCTTACTTTACATGCAGTTACCAGTCTACTCAGAACTTTAAGGATACTTTTTCTTAACCACGGACTTAATTATTCTCCTCTATTCCAAAGGAAGATTTCAAACAACAGACGCCAAACTCAGAACAGAGCAACTCCGTTAGCCTCAGGTTATCAGAGCACAGAATGGCTAACCAGGGAGGGGAATCCCAATAGGTAAAGGGGTAAATAAAGATGCATAGCTTTCTAAGTCTTCTTTCTGAATGTGTTTTAACATTTCAGAACAGTATAAATACCCTTATTTAAGCAGTCAGCAAAACGGTTCATAGCCTCCCTTCCCCTCAAATACACCAAACTCCTTCCCACTTGGGCCTGTTATTCTCCATATATGCCACCCCACAACCAGTGCGAGGCCCCTGCTTTCCCTGCTCTGCCCCAGGAAGGTGGCCCCTGCTGTCTGCATCTCTAGAAAGCCCTTGCTGGCTGGCTTCCAGTTGGGTGTGGTCAACAGGCTGCCCTGGCAGAACAGATCAGGTGGATATTTCTTTCCAATTCCCTGTCTTGGCACCACAACTCTGGAAACAACTGCCTCCCACAACAACCCCAGCTCCTACCAAGCAACCCGTTCTTTTAAAACCAAATACTTTATTAATTATGATATTACAGTTGTGCTAATTTTTCCCCCTTTGCTCCCCTCCAAGAATACCGCGCAATCCCTCTGGCAATACCCCCCTTAGTTCACATCCATGGGTCATGCATGTAAGTTCTCTGGCTTTTCTATTTCCTATACTATTCTTAACATCCCTCCTGTCTATTCTGTATCGGCCAATTTGTGTTTCTTAATCCCTGCACCTTTCCCTCCATTCTCCCCTCTCCCCCTCCCTACTGATAACCCTCCAAATGATCTCCATATCTACAATTCTGTTCCTGTTCTGGTTGTTTGCTTAGTTTGTTTTCTAGATTCGATTGTTGAGGGTTGTGAATTCTTTGTCATCGTAATGTTCATAGTTTTGATTTTTTCTTAAATCCCTTTAACATTTTATATGAAGAAAAAAATTAAAAAATAAAACAAAAAATGAGGCTAGGGTAAGGAGCCTCTGGGACAACTTTAAACACACCAATATTCAAATCATAGGGGTGCCCGAAGAAGAGAAAGACCAAGAAATTGAAAACTTATTTGAAAAAATGAAAGAAAACTTCTAATTTGGTGAAGGAAATAGACATTCAAGTCCAGGAAACAGAGTCCCAAACAAGATGGACACAAAGAGGACCACACCAAGACACATCATAATTAAAATGCCAAAGGTTGAAGATAAGGAGAGAATCTTAAAAGAAGCAAGAGAAAAGGAGAGAGTCACCTACAAAGAAATTTCCATCAGACTATCAGCTGATTTCTCAAAAGAAACCTTGCAGGCAAGAAAGGGCTGGCAAGAACTATTCAAAATGATGGAATGCAAGGACTTACAACCAAGATTACTCTACCAGCAAAGCTATCATTTAGAATGGAAGGGCAGATAAAGTGCTTCCCAGACAAGGTAAAGCTAAAGGAGTTCATCATCACCAAGCAACCCGTTCCTAGTGCCTCACTGTCCCTGAGATCTAGCCACTCTTTCCCTTTGTCCTCCGGGCTCTAACGGCAGTAACAGCTCCGGGCTGTGGCTAGTCTCTCCACAGCTCACCATTGCTTGTTTCTTCCTCTTAGGTTGTCCTCATCTCTACACAGTCCTTTCATTAACTTCTTTTTAGCTGACAAATCCACGGTGAATTCTCTGTCCTGCCAGAACTCTCATCAATTTACTATCTCAAAGCCTTTGTGCATTTTATGTTCCATCTATCACAATCAGGTGTCAAAACTGTATCATCTCCTCAGAGGGGCTTCCCTGATCACCAAATCTAATGGTAGCTCCCACCTCAGGTGCTCTTTGGTCCCTTCCATTTTCATCACCTTTCTTTGAAATTAAGCTCCTAAAAACCAGGAACCTAGCAGGACTGATTTGTTCACTTTATACCTAATTCACAGCTCAGTGACTTAAATAGCAAGAGTTAAAAACTTTTTGTGAAATGAAGTAGCTCCAAATCAAACTTTAAAAACTTAAATTCCTTCAGGTTTATTTGTTAAAGCAAGAGTCCCAAAAAATACCTCAAGTTTCAGGATGTTATGCCAACACCTTTAAAATGAATGCAAATTTATGTGGTAGAATATAACTTCTTAAGAGTATTCTTGCCTCAAACACTAGTTCTCAATTGTTTTCTGTAGCAATACAACTGACTATATTTTCACATGGCACACACGCTCAAGGCTGAATCAGATGATGGGCTAGGACAAAAGACTGAACAGAACAGACTGCCTTCAATCCGGGATTGAAGAGCTCTGGCTCTTACTACTTTCAAGAAAAGTGACAGTAAATGTGAGAAGTTATTACACAGTATCCTAGGGATAGCCCTGAATCTCCTTTTATTTATCTTTTTAAATTAACACCCATCACGCATTAATAGCACTTCACTGTGATCCACAACAAATCACAGTGACCGGAGGGCCCTATAACCCAAGGTTATAAAGGTGAACTAAAGCGCCACTCATCTGATCTAAGTCTGATCTATTATGAATCAGAAAAATTAGACAAACTGATGGATTAATTGGAGTAAATTAGTTTTATGCTAAGCTTCCCTAATGATCACTTCCATAAGAATTAAAGCTAATAATTTAATGCCCAAAATAACGTTACATAAAAATTAGCTCCAAAATATTCAGCTACACATCTTTCCATAAATAATTTGCTTCCATTTTCCATATAGACATATGAAGAATTCCTGCAATAAAGATTTCAATGATTACACTTGACTTAATTCTAACTTTTATTAAAAAGGAAAGACATCGAGAATGATTTATATACAACTATACAACGTTTTAAACAGCTTTCCTATTCCTGCTAAAGCCTTTTATGTAAACTGTCTACATAGTATGTGCTTTCCCAGGCTTGAGACTATCGAACTTCACTTCACATGTGACCTCAGCAGTTTTATTGCACCAGGATCCACGTAACATGTTGTAAAGTGCTCCTCACTGGTGGAGAGTAGCCAAGCCTACTCCGTACTGAATTCCCCACGGTACTTTCTATTTGGGTTTTGTGAATGCAGTGCCGGGTAGAGGACTAACTGTGTGCTACTGACCTGAATAAGAGATTTCTATTAAAAACGTATAGTTAAAAAAAAAGGCCTAAGAGCGTTTGTTGTCTATCAATGTGCCAAAAGCGTTCCTAATGATGAGGGCTAAAATGTGTGAGTCCAGTTGCTACCATTTTATCTTAAAAAAACCAACAGGTCTAAAAACGACCTAAGAAAAAACATGTCACAAAAATGAACATAAGCCCTGGATGGAGTAGCTCAGAGGACTGAACGCAGGCTGTGAACCAAAGGATCACAGGTTCGATTCCCAGTCAGGGCACATGCCTGGGTTGTGGGCCAGGTCCCCAGTGGGGGCCACGTGAGAGGCAACCACACACTGATGTTTCTCTCTCCCTCTCTCTCCCCCCCTCCTGTCCCCTCTCTAAAAATAAATACATAAAATCTTTTAAAAAATGAACATAAAATTTAGATAAAAGGAATTCTTTACATTAAGAAACACAGTCATGATTTTAGTTATTGCTTTTAAGTAATTAAATTTGTACTTTTACTTATTATTTCCAATGCTCATTACCAATCAATGAGCCGCAGAAAATGCCACACAGCTGACCAGTTAGTCATTCCACATTTTATAATATATTTAATTACACTAAAAATAGATCATGAACTTTTAAAAAATGTAAACATAAACCAGGAAAATCAAATATGTAATATGTGTGCAAAAAAAATGAAAATCTTAAGACGGGATAAAAAAACATGACAAATATCAATGTATCTCCACTAATAGTTCTGAAAAACAATTAAGTGCAAATATTTTCATAAAGCAACTAAGAAAACCTAAAGACAAGTTTTTCTGAAAAAATAAAATAAGCTCTGGCTGGTGTAGCTCAGTGGATTGAGCACGGGCTTGCGAACCAGACAATCACGGTTCGATTCCCAATCAGGGCACATACTGGGGTTGCAGGCCAGTTCCCTGCAGGCCAGTTCCCAGCAGGGGATGCATGAAAGGCAACCATACATTGATGTTTCTCTCCCTCTCTCCTTCCCTTCCCCTCTAAAGATAAATAAATAAAATCTAAAAAAAAATAAAGTAAAATGAAGAGCTTAATGTGTTTACCACTAACTTTGTGTTTCCTGCAAGAAGGGACATCACAGCTAAGAAAATGCTTTTAAATGTCTTCAAGAATACAGTTTGTGTTAAAAAAAAAAAAAAAGAAAAGAAAAAGAACAGCAGTGCTTACTTTCCAGGCAATATATTCTTAATATTTGTTACACATCTCAAAATACATAATTTTCCATTTAAATATATTACCATTTCTATGGCCTTTTTCCTTATCTGTACCTTTCTTTCCCTTTCAAAAACAAATACAAGACACAACGCTTAGTACTAATTTCTATCCATAAGGCATTTATAAAACATCTTAGGAATAAACATGATATAAAAATGAAAAACCAACCACAAAAGCTTAATAAATACATTTGTATGCATTCCCCCCACAAAAGGAACGTAACCATCAACAACACCAGCTAACACAAATAAATTAGGTTTCCTGTTCACAAAAAAGAAAGACACACCCGCGTTAACTGTTTGGGAAAGGCAGAAAGAAAAGCGACATGGAAGAGGTAAGGCCGTGTAGAGGTTTTCTGTCTCTGAAGAAGAAACACACAAAAGACAAGTGTGGCGACAGAATACTCAGATGATATGTAATTAGTTACAGAGGTTAACACCAAGGCATTATTTTGCTTACATTTTCCACGCTAAGTCACATCAGATGCTTAAACTACATGTCCTTTTGGTATTCTAGATATTTTGCTGTGATGAGTTCTTCAAGTTGAATTCCTCCACTGCCCATTAACGCAAACGCTGGGTACATGGTGTGCGAACAGTCCACCTGGCGCTCGTAAAGGCATTTCATGTGATCCATGTCGTAGAAGCTCACCTTGCCTTTATCGTAGTCCAGGAAAACCCCTATACTTGTTGGCATGGGAAGAACTCTATTTTCGGGTTCATTAGAAGAAGTAGGTGACTTGGGTATAAAAAATTTCTTCATGCCTATAGTAACTAATGTAAAGGGTTGTGAAGAATCGAAAGAGGCATCTTCACTTCCACTGTCATGCCCACTGTCTTGCTCATACCTAAAACACAACACACAAAGCAGAATCTTATCTGTAGCATTATCCACAGGCCTTTGAGCATCTTTGAAACATTTTACAAGACAATATACACTGATTTAAAATGAAAATAAATTCTATGGCAAAAACTTTCTATTAAAAATAAAAACATAAGGGTTACTTACACATTGCCATTCAGAATTATACCAACACACTTGTCCCAAACTCTGTCTTAAAACATCACCCACTTTTACCTAGATATATACACCGATGAGACCCTAAGAAATAACTCTGGCCTATCAAAAATAAAGCAGGAAGACAAGGACTGAAGGACCTGTCAAAGATTTAATATTTATAGCACAAAATCATGTGTAAGAAAATACAGAACCAAGATGTGTGCCCTGAGCCAAGGAATTACAAACTAAATAAATAGCCCTGGCCAGGTGGCTCAGTTGGTTGAAGCATCGTCCCGTACACAAAAGGGCTGTAGGTTCGATCCCTGGTCGGGGCACATATGGGAGGCAACCAATCCATGTCTCTCTCTCTGTCTCTCTCTCCCCCGCCTCCAATCTCTAAAATCAACAAATATACCCTTGGATGAGAATTAAAAATAACGAGTAGGCACTGCATAATAATAGAGAAGAAAAAAGCATGTTTCATTCTCCTCCAAATAACTCTATTTCCCAATTGAAATTTCTACCAGATCTACAATGTTAGCAAGTATTATGATGGTTTTTTTCCCAGTAACATAAAGCAGTACCAGCTTATAGAAAATTTTTATATCAAGTTCCTTCCGCTTTTTCTATGCAGTTTCTTTTTATATATTTGTGATCATATGACATCAGCCATTTTTAGTCTTTTTTACTCCTAACATTCCTCATGTTACACACTTTTTAAGTATGATTAATACTAATACTAACATTCTGTCAGATAGTGGACATGCCATTATGTTTAACCATTTCTCCAATATGATTTTCATTGTTCCATCAATTTCCCAGCTTTGAGCAAACATTTTTCCTCTCATTCAGATTAACCTGACATTCTGTTCATGTAAGTGGTCAAAAATTGTTTGTCTGAGCTGGTTCACCTTATACCATCTACAAAGATTAAACCGATCTCCATTAAACAGTCAATCTGTTAGGAAATTGAAATTCTTTGCTGTGCAAACATATCTGCCAGGACCTAACTATGTAAAGCACGGATGGGACGTTTAAAGAGGCTGTGTCCCAAAACAAAAGAACAACATGTATCCGTGGGGAAGTGTGGCGATTAGAGCCATGTCACTGTATACACACGTGGGTGACTTTTATCACATGACTAAGGTAAGTGATAAGACTTCCAAAATTTAAAACTGCCAAGCCATAGCACAATCAAGAGGTATCCAAAACAGACTTATTTATTCTCGGCATCATAAGTTAACTGCTACATCTCATCATTTCCCTGTGTCAATAAAGAAACCTGACTCATTTTCTCAGCCAACTGCATAAACATAGCCCAAACTCCTGGATCTAAGAAATGTACTGAAAATGTAATAAGTAAATTTTCAACCTTACCTTGCTGAGTAAGCACATTTACTTTTAAAATAATTATAGTTCTAGGTCAATAAAAAGATGTACCTTGGACTGACGGCATCCCGGGGAGAACGGAGCCATTCTTGTAGTTTGTCACTGGAAGCAACTCCCGCTTTCACCAGGTACGAATATGGTTCCACACGAAAGGCCCAAAAGTGCTTCCCTTTCGTAATTCCAACATCTCCAATGATGTAGTCTAAACTCGTGTAACAACCCACTTGGATTCGTTCTGCGGCAAGCAGAAGATTAAATCCAGCTCTACTCTCTACACGGTCTCTCTTCAAGCTCAGCGCGAGGTGTTCATTATTATAGCCACATTTTTCATCAAAGAGGAAACTGAAAACTATAAATAAAACTTCAAATTAGTCTGAGAAATATTTATTAGCAGTTTTATAATTTACGGCTTTTCTGATAGAAATGACTGAAAAGAAGTAAGATGTATCACACTACTCAGGACCAAACTATGACAAACCAAAACCCCAACTTAGAAATAACTTCCAATAAACTCTCCATACCTGAAAATCTTAAGAAACCTCAAAGGCAGAAAAAAATATTTTAAATAGGAGAAAATGTATGAATGTGATTCTTTTGCAATAGATATAGCAAATCTATCCTAAATATTTCATACTACTGTATCTGTCTTTTATCCCTAAAATAAAAGGGTAAACATTTTCATATTTTCTTAAATGTTCACTCCAAATTTTATAAATTTGAAAAAGAACAGCCATTTTAATAACATCTTTCCCTTATTCCTCAATATGGCAGACATGACAGTGTGCAGTGCAAAAAAGAAGGCACAGGCTTTCTGTTCGGAGACATGGGCGTGAACCTCCCCTCCAGCACTGCATTACAGTCCAACCTAAACTTTAATGTCCTCGACTAGAGACTGGAGATGACACCACTTTTTATAAGTCTCTATCAACTCAAATCCATTAATGTAGCACTGGCTGCCTGCCCAAAACCTGGGGATGACCCAAATGTCCATCAACAGATGAACAGATAAAGAAAACGTGGTATATACATATGCAATGGAATATTAATCAGCCTAAAAAAGGAAGAAAATTCTGATACATGCTACATACAACATGAATGAACCTTGAAATTGGACAGTCACAAAAGGATTATATGAATCTACTTATGTGAGATACCTAGAATGGGCAAATTCATAGAGGCAGGGGAGGGAGAACAGGAGTTACCATTTAATGGCCACGCCTTCAGTTTGGAAAAAAATGAAAAATTCTGGAGATGTGAGTGGTGGCAGTTGCACAAAACTGTCAGTGTGTTAGTGCACCTGAGGCTGCTGCTGACTGTGCACCACTGGGGTGTACCCACAAACCTTACAGAATGACGTCAGTTGTATTTGAAAAAATTTTTAAACCACTTTAAAATTGTTAAAATGGTAAATTTTAACTTCACTATGCCACATTTTCTGAAACTGTCTTCCAGCTAAAACCATTCCCGTATGTAGCTGACCACTCTTCCTGGCAATGCCTGTTGTCCCAACATGGTAGGTCACACTTCCTTTCGATCTCAAAAGCCTCCAGTTTGCAAAATAAATTTAAATGGGCACCCTATTCATAATGGCTTCTCCTGGAGAAAAGGAAGACAACTTTTAACACTTCCTTTCTGCCTTCCCCTCCACTATGTTACTGAAACAGCAGCTATTTCAGGTTTCTATTTTTTTCTACTTTTGGTCAGAGACTGGAAAAGACAGCTGAAGCTGCATAAACTATAAAATACTTATTTATTTCCTGCAAATCCATCTTAAAACTCTCTATTGGATTTTATTAGAATTCAGGAAAACTAATTTTAACTAACCCTATTTATTTGCATCCTAATTTTTTTTTAATTCACCACAATGTGTATGGAAAGTAACTAGTGCATATGTACACTCTGAAGAAAAAGAGGAAGAGAGACTACACAAAATATGGATACAGAAGCCACTAAAAATGGGCAGAGGCAATGCAGTCCAAAGATCAGCTGACGGAAACTCCAAAACAATAACCAACAAGGAAAAACATTTTCCTGCAAAAACTGCAACAAGCGCAACCTGGTCTAAGTGTCTCTTGTCCGTGTGGATGTTGTCATGAACATCAGCTAAACTGTACATCACTCCCATTCTGTAACAATCCAAAGACTCTCTACAGGTACTATCGGTGGGTTTGAACTTGAAACAGGGAGGGGAGGATGCTGGGCAAGAGGAGATCTAGGACGGAAAGGAAGCCGCACACACCTGGTTCTAACATGTCCTCACGTGCTGGGAATCTGCACTGGAAAATTCAGACAAGTCTAAATCAGTGTAAATCAAAATTCTACTTCACATTATACCAACAAATCTTTAAATATCTATCTAGATAGCATGTTCCAGAGATTTCTATAAGCTAATAAAAAACATAGACTTATACTATTTAAAACTTATAAGGTAGCATTTGTGCTATTTTAATCCCAAATTAATAGCCTTGCTTCCTCAAATGTCTTCATGTTTTTCTTTATTTGATATCAGTCAAAAATCTAATACTCTCCTCCTCAGCCTACATGGCAAAATTCACGTAATCAGTCTATTTCTAAATCACTGCTGGTCTTCACAGACACGGACGTGGTCCAACTCCACGCTTTTGTTATTCCCAGTGGTCGCAGTACCTGGAGCCGGAGGAGTATGAAGAATCAATTCTCTGCTGCAAGGACTGCACACTGAACCCTTGTAGGCTCTTACTCGGAAAGCATATTTACAGTTACTCTCAAGTTCTGAAATAACTTTACTTGTGCCACAAACTTCTATCTCATTCCAAGACAGCATTTCTTCATCTCTATTAATCTTCCGATACTCGAGGACATAGCTATCGGCTCTGTCCTTTTCTGGATGGTGCCAATTTATAAAAGCATTGTTATAAGCTTTGCTCTGTTCCTCATTGATCTCTGGCACATCTATGCCTGAAAAAAATATGACATAGTAAACAATGTTAAAATATCATTAAAGAACATATCTTTTTCCTTAATGAAAATGATGTGCTGACAATACTTAAATCATTTCTGTACTGTCCAATTTTCTAAATTTATAATTGTGCGTGTGAGAAAAAGAACGATTCCCGCGCAGGCGACAACAGGAATAGATGCTGCAGACGGGCCGAGTGAAATGAGCCAGACATAGAAAGACGAATGCCAACTGCATGATTGAGGTATCTAAAAAAGTCAAGTTCATAAAGTCAAAGGCTGGAATGCTGGTTACCAGGGGCTGGGGGAAGGGATAAATGGGCAGTTTTTAATCAACAGGCATGAGGTTCCAGTTAAGCAGATGAATAAGCTCTGAGGATCTGGAGCACAGCCCAGGGCCTGGCCAACCACTGTACTGCACACTTGACACCTGCTAAAAGGAAACATTCTCATAGCAAGTGTTCATAACACAAAATTTTTAAAAAATTATAAAACAAAGATTAAAAAGGCATGTTTATATTTATAACTGAAAAGAGAATGAAAAGAAGACAAAACTTCAAAGACTCAAATTCTGCAACCCAATAAGTAAAAATTTTAATTGTATGCCATCAATTTCCACCTATTTATTGATTAATAGTCCTCAACTTTGTGTCCTCCTATAAACAATTATTTTAATAAATATTTTTAAATCCAAGTTTGGTGAATATAGCAAAAAACCTCACTGAAACATTACACAATTTTCTTTCATATTTTCTTCCCCGAGTTGCAAAGCAATTTAAATAAAATTTTCTTGGTAAAAAAACTGGTTTTTGTAAGAAAATTAGAGAGCATATAAAACACGCAAAGATAAGTAACTCAAAGATAATCACTACAATGACTTTGTATAGACCCTGCTGGTATTTTTCTGACAGTGGCATTCCACTGAATGGATGTATGGGCATTAACTGTCTGCAAAAACATGCTTCTGTTAAATTGTTAAAATACATCACAGCTAAATCTTTGTGCATACCCATAATCCTTTCCACAGAATAAATTCCAATAAGTTTAACTATTTGGGTCATATGGTTTAAGTAAGCTATAAAAGTTACACACACACATTTTTATCAAATCACAGAGAAGTGTATGAAACGGACAAGTAGGAGTCCCCTCCTCCCCTTATCCCCCAGCTCTAGGCAGCAATGGATAAGCATGTCTGGGTATGGTGCATTTATGCAACCACAATGAGATCTAAAAAGTCATCTGAAATATACCCTAAAGTGAAAAGAGAGAAAACACTATTTACAAAATAACATGACTAGTATGACCCACCAGACAGCCCTTCCTTTTTCTGAAACAAATCTTACTAAAAAAATATGCATGCAAGAAAAAATGAGGAGCCATCCACCAGTCAGAAGCTGGGTGCTGACTTCCCACTGCCACACACTGGGTAACCCAAGATCACTGAGCTCCCACCTCATCTTTCCAAGCAGTTTTGGGATCTCCTGGGGAGGAAGGGCCTTGTACTACAAAGTAAATTAGCGTACATGAAAACAACCACCTTCTGGGAAAAGAGGGGGTACAGGATATGAAATAGAATCAGCATTTGAAAGAGTAACAAGTACCTATCTGGAAAAGCAAGACAGTCGTAATACACAAGGTAAGTATATCTCTGAAAGGAGATTCAGGTGTAGATTGGAAAAGAAAGGCAGGCACGGTGATAATCCTTCAGCGTCTTTAACTTTTAAAAAGGCAAATTTTCTTTAATTAAATATACAAATGCACACATGTATACCTGTATAGTAATTAGATAAAGTACGCCCTTCTAAGGACTGAAATTGTTCACCATCACTAGAAGAGAAATCTAAAGGGGATGAAAAGGTCAGGAAAAAAGAGGAAAGGAAGAAGTCCCTGCTGGGGAGCAGCAAAACACAAACATAAGCAAGTCTTACGGGCTGAACTGTGCCCCCCCAAAAAACTTCATGTGAAGTTCTGACCTGCAGCACCTCAGAGTGTGACTTTACTGGAGAGAGGGTGTTTAAAAAGGTAATTAAGTTACAATGAGGTCACTAGAGTGGGCCCTAACCCAATACGATTAATATATCTGGTGTCCTGGTAAAAAATCTGGACGCAAATGCGCAGAGAGAAGACCAAGTGAAGACACAGGAAAATGACCATCTGCGAGCCCAACCAGGAGACCTCGGAAGAAACCAAGCGTGTTATCACTTTGATCTCAGACTGCTAGCCTCCAGAATTGTAAGGAAACTAATTTCTGCTGTTTAAGGCACCCACTCTAGATCATTCATTCTGGCAGCCCTAGCAAGCTCACAGAGCAAGGTAAACAGTTAATCATCTTAGAGTCACTCTGAGCCTGGGTATGGCTAGGTTTCTGCCCCAGAGAAACACACATACAACCACTGTAGAAGATGTTCAATACACCGTTGTTTAAAATATGAGACAAAACAGAAACAACTGTCTCTCAGTAAAGAATTATATAATGAAATAATATAAAGTTCAAATATAGCTTTAAAACAGAACTTTGTGTATGATCAAATATTTCTGTTAATTTTTTCAAAAAGCAACTCACAAAAAGGAAACATATAATTCCATGCCATTTACAATAATGTTTAAAAATGCAAACCAAGAGACTACAGTTTTGTGTACAAAATCAGTTTTAAAAATATAAATACAATACAGTTTTTAAGATACCAGGGTTCGAGGCAACTGAGATTCTGCTTCATAATGTCCAGTTGAAGAGAATTTGTTTTTTCTACAATGCAAACTCGGACTAAGAGAGTGTGGTTTTTGCCTTTATTAAAACTCACCACTAGAGAAAAAGGACAATTCTCCAAGAACTTCTATTTGTTTAGATGTATCAACAACATAGTCTTCAAAAGAAGTCTGAGCCGCAGGTCTAAAGCTTTTCAAAGATTCCGTAGCTTTCTGGATTCTGTATTCAAACAGATACATTTTATGTAACAATGATTTGGTAAACAGGCAAATTAGACTAAGTGTCTTCAATGTGATTAACAAAAGGAAACCACTCAACATTAACCGTGCTTCACGTAACAACTAACTTCACTGTGAACAAACCACTCAGTGCTACTGTGGAATTCACAGCAGCATTTCATGGCGCGGCTGAGGAGATTCTAGTTAAAAGGAAAATACCTGAGGTGGAGTTGTTTGGCCGTCTGTACGAAGCAAGACTGATCCGTCTCCTTAAGCACTTCTTGGGCATATCCCACGAGTCCATTGTTCTCTAGAAGCCCCTGATATTCTTCCACTTGAGTCTGAAATTTGTCTAATCTGAGTTTCTTTGAAGCATCGATTGCTTTCAAAACAGATGATTTCCTCTCTTCTAGAATTTCAAAGAGCTTTTCAAAATGTGTGATTGCTTCTTCTTTAGCCCTCTCTCCATTACACTATATAAAACAAGCAAAGCATGACCAACGTCTTTTCACAAAATAACCAAATTCCATAAAACAACCTCAAACAATGTAAAGAAAATACACTGTGTGTGATTCTGAAATTTGGCATCAAGGACTGATTAGTAATCTTTATTTAGACATACACTGTAGTTTTATAATATTGTACCTTCCTAAAACTTTTAATTGCCAAAGTTCAGCAATAAACAATATTTAAAATAAGAAAATAACCTTCAATTTGTATACAAAGAAAATTGAGGTATAAATTAACTGATTTAACTAAAGACATGGGAAAAGACAATTCTGGAGATGGTAATTGATTTCTAATTAAAGAAAAAAATTTTCACCATTTCTACCCCATTCCGATTTTTTTAAAGAAAGTAAACTAGAGCCATGAAACTCAGTAAAAGGACACCCTTCACTAAGATATAAGAATGTAACTCTTCAAATTAATATAAGTTAATAGTAATTAAATCCTATGTGGCTTTATGCAAATTATTTAAATTCTTTATGCTTGAGTTTTTCTCTTTTGAAAACCGGAAATAAGTTTATTTTTTGAAGACAGAAAAAGATTTATTTACATAAAATGCTCACCACAATGTCACATACTCTCAATAATTATACATTACTTTCACTGTACAACATAAGTATTCCTCCACTTTGTCAAAAAAAAAATCCTATCTGTAGTAAGCACCACAAATGTAGTAATAAACATTTTTCATGTCAGTAAAATCAGAGATAAACCTGACTTTGAAACTAAGACCATCACAGCTCTCATAAGCACTCATCCTAACAGGCCTTCAGCAGCGGCCAACAGGAGAAAGTCTCCAAGGATATTCTTAAAGGCTGACAATATATTACAGAAATGCATTCTGCATGTGCCAATGACTGCTGGCCAACATTCACTGCAACGCGAGAAAAAATTTTCCAGATCCCCTTCTCTGTTTCCTAACAGCAACAGCCACATTATTTTTAACTGGGTGTGATGGGAGAAGATGGAGGGCGGTGACACTTGGGTGGTATCTCACTGACCGATTAAGCCATTAAACCAGAAATGTCATTATGTACAGGTAAAAAGGATATTTTTTCTGGCTAAGTATAATTATAGATTAAAAGACAGTATCACGATCATCACTAAGTCAAAGTCAAGAAGAGAGACAAATTCTCTAGTGTTGAAAATCCTTACTGATAAAGCTACGAATGCTGCTTAGGTCAAAGGTACAACAAGAAACTAAACGATTTCTCCAGGATCCCATGGCATCAGTGTCTACATGAATACTGGATGCCTGAGTTCCTCGGTTTTCAACCTGCCAAAGAAAAACTCCAAAACATTTCCCCTATTTCAGAAGGGCAGCATGCCTGAGAACCAAGAGTAGAACCAACCTGAAACAACCTAGATTATTAAATCTCGGACCCAGGTGGTAACTTGCTGTGTGTTGAGTGATTATACCAATCAGAAAAAAATATAAGAAGAATATTCCATTTTAAATTACATGGAAAAGCAACTTATTTAGGGTAGTGAATAGAATGATAAAATATTAGAAAAAGAATATTAAAAACAAAAAAGCAATACTGGCAGTTTAGTGCTAATTCACATAACTTCTCAATAATTTTAACCCATTTTTGAAAATTTTTTCAAGAAATAACAGTCTCATACCAGTCAGGATATTTTTATATTGAATAATAACTTCTAAAGTGATCAGGAGTTAATGGTTCTTCAATTTATTTCACAAAGACAAAAGAAACAGCCATTAAATCAGTGAAAGATATTTGTAATTTTAAAATAACCCAATCCTGTCCTCTTTACTGTATTTTTTAAATGTTATCAATTCTTCTATATTTTTGTTGAAATATACAAACAGGAAAATGTAGGTCAGTGTAGAGATTAATGAATCTTTGCAAACACACCCATGTAACCAGCATCCAGATGAAATAAACAACCATTACCAACATCCCAGACGCCACCCTTACTACTCTCCAAGGCACTAATCCTCACCGTCTTCAACAACTTCTAACCCGAATTCTAACAATATATTCCAGTTTCACCATTTTAGGTACTTTTTATAAATGGAATCACATAGAATATACTCCTTTTATCTGGCATCTTGCAATATAATTGCAATACTTACCTACACTGTTGCACATAGCTACAGATCACTTACTGTGGCTTATATTCCACTACTGATGAACACTGGGTAGTTTCCACTTTGCGGCTGTTACAAATAACGCAGCTACAAACATTCTAATACATGTCTTTTAATGAACGTAAGTCAGGTATATATACTTAGGGATATCTGTAATATTAAATAAATTTGTCCTATTTTAAATAAAATAGGACTAAATAAAAATGTCCTATCCACAGACAGTTCATTTTTCAAACATGACCTGTTAATTTTTGTAATATACAGATAATTGCAAAAGCTGTCATTTCCCATACATTACCCATACATTACTACCTTTGAGACATTAACTGCCACATAAAGAGCTAATCACTCCTTCCTCTGCCATAGCACTAATCACATGGCATTGTAATTTATATTTCACATTTGTTTTCCTAGTCCCAGAAAAGCAGAACGGAAATCTAATTTTGTATTCCCGGCTCATATGCTGCCCCCCAAATTTTATAAATTAAAAAATAGTTATCTAGATGAAAATGCAAACCAGTTTTTCACTTACCTCTGTCTCTTTCATTAACAAGTTTAGTTCAGAAATTTGCCTCTTCACCTGGCTCTCCTTGCCAATAAGGTAATCAATATCCTTTGAAAGCTTTTCCTGTTGGAACATATTAGTAATACAAATAAACAAATAGAAGTTTAACACAGCCCTTTCAAAATCTTGGTTTTTTACACAGTACTTCTTTAGGCTACGATGAACAGACTATGATGATTATAGTTATTAACACAGGGTAAATAGTTTACGGCCTTTAGCACAGAGACCCAGGTATATATAAGATATTAGAAGCAGGCTGTAAAAAAGAGCAATGTAGTAATGTTCAGATTAGTCAAAATTCCTAATACACAAACAGTACATCTTTGATAGCTCTTACCACTCCTGCAACCCTGCCCCCTAAGGCTTCTATTCTAAGCAAAGGGAAGAGCAGCGGTTGAAACCATGCGGGCTGGCCAGTCTTCATCCTTCACTTACGCACATCCCCCACCCACACCCACCCCACACACAGCAGCCAAAGGCCCTTCCAAAACAATCCCCAACACCCATCTCAGCCCAGGTATTCCTTAAATAATTATATAATACATAATACTGCAAATACAGATTTATAAAAAAATAGAGCTCACTATGCTTCCAGAGCTTACTTGTTTATAACAAGTAAATTTTGAAATTAGTATAGTTTATCATAGATATGACATCATAGGTTTTGGTGAGATCCCCACTCCATCCCAGAAAAATATACTATGTATATGCCTACAGTACATTAAAAAACAATACAAGGCAAAAAATTCTGAAGCACCATGGTACAAAGTTAAAACAGACAAATGTATTCAATCTAAATAAGAATAAGAACATTCAGAAAACACTTTCCAAGCACTACAGCATTTATAGGATCTGAGCGTTTCTTGGTCACTGATGAAGACATGAATAAGTGAACAAGAAAAGAAGAGGGACAGAGACCCAAACTATTAGGAATTGAGACGTTGGTGTACACATTTCATCTTCCCATTTTTTTACTCAGACCATGTAACAGGGTGAGAGAGTGCAGACAGAGATCAAAGTGGCAGGTCTCTGACAGAAACCATCTTTAATTCTTTGGAGCAGCCCAAAGTCAGACACAGCAAGTTTTCTTGATCGCTCACCGGACCAACAGAGGAAGAACCATCAGGTATGGGGAAGAGATTTCTGAGGACTAAAGGCAACATGGGACCAAGAAAGAAACTAGGGTGTTGCGAACAGGAAGAGACAGAAAATCCTGTGTCCTAACCCAGCAATTTATAAAGTTCACTGAGTACAAACTTCACAGTCAGTAACTGAACGGGAACCTCCTCACTGTGGTTCCTCCCACGTGTCCCTGTCCAGCCCATGCTAGGTAGGACCAGAGGTATCGGGTGCAGATGGTGGCACTCTATTTAGCTACAGAAGCAAGGAGAAGAAGTAGGCCATTTACAGTGAAGTAGGTCTTGTTTCTAACATAGCTTAACTTAGAAATACAAGGGAGGCCAGAGAAGAGATGAAGGAATTCAGAAATACAGTCTAAGGTCCAAGAGCACTGGGGTCACTCAGAGAGCTGCAACACTCAAAGTCTTTGGCCAGTGACAGCCTTATCAGAGCCCAAAGTGAGTTAAAGAAAGAAATTAATAAACAGAGCAGAAATAAGCAAAATAAACTTCTGAAACCCAATACATAAGATCAATGAAACAAGAACTTTTTTCTGAAAGTTCCAGTCTTCTCTGCCCCCTCAGACCCAGGCAGTCTGTGTTAAGACTAGATCTATTTTAACCAAGAAGCATGTCCGCTTACTCACAGGCCTCCAAAAAGTATAAGCACCAGGAACTAAGGATAAAGTAAAACGTAAAAACGAAACTAAGGCTCCCAAGAAATTCATGTAGTAGGGGAAGCAGTTTTAGATCCTTTAGATGCATCAGAGCCACAGTTCTCTGGGAACTGATCAGAGGCTGACTGCTCAATGACCCCAAAATTGCTCAAAAGCGTCCCTCTGGAGCCACGGTTCTCAAGCGCGGTGTGCGTCAGTCTCTGAGAACTAATAAGGTGTGCAGAGGCCTGGGCTCTTTGAAGTGGGAGAGGACTTGACGTCCATAGTTTCACCAAGTGCTCCAGGCGATTTTATTGCCCACCAAAGTTTGAGAACCAGCGCCTCCCTCTTTTAATCAGGCCCTGGGTCAAAGGTACCCAAAGAAACATTAGCGTCAACAAAACAAAGGAGAAGGAAGGAAGAATGAGAATTTCATTCAATAATTTCTCCAAATACCTTCTACGTGAACAGGCTGGGAGAATAATATATAACCCGCGTGGCCCCTTGTGCTCATGAGTTACATAATTTTAAAGGTGATATCAGCTTTGCTATATGGCTGAAATGTTCAGAATAAAGTGTTGGGAAGAAAAGTTATATAATGATACACTTAAGTCAAGCATCCAGTTATGTCAGCAAACATGGCAATACTGTTCACGATGAATTTCACATACCCCAAAGTACAGAAGCTACATTACTTTCTCATTCAGTGGGGACTATTATAGGGATGTCTACATTTTCTACTTTGCTAGGTCCTACTTTCTAATCGTTTGTCTAAAATCATAAATCCAGATGAAATAACAGTACCTGAAGAGGATTCTTAACTCCCTTCTAGAAATTTATAGAAATGAAGGAAAATAAAACTAGGAAAAAGTCCTTAAGAAATATTCCTCCATAAAATGTCAACTGCTATAAATATAATTATAGAGTAGACGACTGAGATGAGCTAACAACCAACTCTCCTTAATGGGAAACTGCACAGTCGTGTGTAAGAAGTTGAAAAAAAATCCTAGAAAATCCACTGACACCCAAAGTAGGAGAGGCGTGGGCTTGAGGTGCAGCCAGACTGACGGAAAGACAGGAACACTCAGCTGCAGCCCCCTTTTTGTGGTAAAACAGAAATCCACAGCCTTAGCAGTACAAGGTGGTCAGAGGGAAGAGTACACAGGGTTCCCAATGGAGGGAGGTGGGAAGAAGTCTGAATCCGTCCCTCTCCCAGAAGAGCAGGTCAGCGAACAAAGGTAAGCTATAAAAAAGATGAAACCACTGCATTTTGAGAGCTTAGTGCATATACCTCTATCGGGAGATTAACAGGAGAGATGACTATGTGGAAGAAAAAAGAAAATACAGGTGTCACCTAACAGAAGACAGTCGCAGGACTGACTCCTCTCAGTTATGAACTATTCAGGCCAGTTCACCCAAAAGTAATAGCACTTTGCAGAACTGAAAGGGCACCACCCACAAAACAACCTGGTAATAATTCTGAGGCCACACACTCTAGCAGTTTACCTGCATGAGAAGCCAGGTCAAACAAAGACACAGACAAGGGGCCTGGCCCCTGCTTCGACAAAATGAAGTAGCCTGTATCATGCAGCTTCCAGCTTAAAAACCTAAAACCAAGTGAAAAGGAGGAAGTTCTAAGGCAATCTGATTACTATTGTTGGAGGTTGGAAAATCCAATATGGAGTCTATTTTTTTTAAGTCTAAATATATATGAGAGAAATAACAATATGAAGAATAACTTCAGTGTATACTATTGTCAAAGATTTCACTCCAGGTAAAAATGTTTTTGGACAACTTCTATAAGATCAAACCAATACGCAACAAAAAAGGTGTCCAAGTTAAATTTAATTAGCAAACACTGGTACCACCCCGGGAGGGCATAATAGAGTAACTATGACTAGATTTTCTCTCCCACTGGAGAAAAATTTAAAAACCTATCAGAAAATATGCAAGAGCTCTGAAGACACTGGACATCAATAAAGAACTCTGAGAGATGATAAACAAGACCAGCCTGTGACTGCCCCTTGGCTTACTGTCTGGAGAAGGTTTCCAAGGCCAGGTACTAAAATGAACTCAAACAGAGCCAAGCCTCCAATGAGTTGAAACGATGAAGCAGTCAGGCAGGCCAGAGTTTGTAAAGCATGACTCCTAAGAACAGAGGGTACAGAAAGGAACTCCGGAGATGTGCAAGGGCTCCCCTTCCTTCTTCGGAGAGTGTTGATCAATCACAGTGGGAGAAAACCGCCAGAAGCCAGGGAAAGAATCACCCAAAGGTATTAGAGGGAATAATTCCAGGAGCTGACACAAGACTCGAAACAGCGCCTGTATCGCTTCTCAGCCTTTTGGCTAAGATCAAGTGAAATAGTGCCTGTTCAGTACCAGCCAGACTAAATTCACTGGACATTGGGAATAGTAAATGTTTTACATCAACAGTTTGGTTAAACTTAGCCCTAGAATTAAGTGTTGCTCTGTTCTGCCTAACAAAACTGAAAAGCAAGACCCAAAAGGAACCGTTTCTAAATAAGTAACTTAATCACATACCAGAAGAAAACTCAAGAATCTGTAGGATACAAAAATAATCCATTGCCCCAAAAGTACCTGGCAGCCAATCAAATACTGCCAGGCGTGAGAAACAGGGAATACAAATCAAAATGAGAAGAAATATCAGTCAAAACTGACCTAGTCATACCCTGGCTGGGTGGCTCAGCTGGTTGGAGAATACGTCAAAAAACGTTGTGGGTTTGATCCCTGGTCAGGGCACATACCTAGTTGAGGATTCGACCTGGGCAGAAGCGCATGTGGGAGGCGACTGGTTGATGCCTCTCTTTGATATCGATGTTTCTCTACCCCTCTCTTTCTCTCTCTCCCCCCTCCCCTCTCCCCTCCTTCCCTCTCTCTTTCAAATCCATAAACATAGCCTCAGGTGAGGATTAAAAAAATGACCTAGTAATGACCCAGATGACAGAAGTAATATACAACAAGAACAAAACAATGATACTTGTAATCCACATACTGAATGTAAAACATTGAGCATGACAGACGTAGAAAATGCAAAATATAAAACTGTAAACTGTATATATAAATGATAATTACATGTGTATCAGAAGTGCATATACATATTATTAAAGATAGAAAGAAAACAAAAATTTAAATTGGTGACAGATTTACGTATTGATTTAATTCCTTTTTAAAATATTGTTTAAAATAAAAAGTGAAACAAAAAGGTAGCATTATACCATTGCCCACTTTCCTGTTTTAAAAAGGCCAGATATAAAGTTAAAAGACAGGAAGTTACTCAGCTGTAGCCAGTGAGGATCCCACCAGAATAAACAAAATTCTATAGACAAGTAACAAGAATCGAGTGTCTGAAAATAGTTATTGTCCTTCAAAGTGTAACATTCCCACGCACACAATGTCACAGACACTGGGCTCACTGAGGATTGTAATGAAGTATCCTTCATCCCCGTGTCTTTCCTCAGAGTGCAGAACCAGCACGTTAGCATGACAGAAAAACCGCCTGGTCAGAAATCCCACCACCTAGTATCAGTAGACCATTAACAGTTGACATTGTTAACTCATTCTGGTAAAACAGACCACACAACAAGTCTTGATTTCATAAAGAAAACATTAGAGGCATAAAGAAAAATAAAGTTATAAAATGGAAATAGGAGGGAGGCGGGGAGGGATGGGTGGGCAGGATGGGATGGGAGTAAAAGACAGAAAACGGTACTTGAACAACAATTAAAATAAAATTTAAAAAACGAAAAATAAATGTATAAAGAACCCAAATTTAGTTCCCAAAATAAACAAGTCCTACCTTTAAGGTTTTGTAGGCATTGCTCATAGTGGTTACCCGGTGATTGGCATGATCACCACCCAGCTTACAGAGATGGCAAACTGGCCTCCTACATAACTCACAGTACATGTTTATTCTCTCTGTTTCATGTTCTGGGCACATTAAAATCTATTGAGTGAAAAATAAAAGTGTGATTAAGGGTCATCATAGCTTGCAGATTCCTCGAAGTCCCAAAATACAAAAGATCTGCTTTAGAAAAATCCCTAACTCAAGCCATTTAAATAAGCAAAAGTGTAAAAGGAAGTAAAAACATTTGGTATATCATATGAAAATTCTCTATGTTGGAATTACTACTGTTCAATTTCAAACAGTCAATTAGGTATGTAGCTGTTACTTCCCCCAAACCTGGTGATAAGACGGTGAAAATTTAATTCTTTGCAGACCTAAGCAGCGTGTTTAACCTAACAGCACTGACTAGGCGACAGTGATGATCATGATCGGTGTTTTTATAAGGTGCCGTAACTCGAGAGAACCGGGCCTCACTATCCTCTCCAGAAAGCTGCTACTGGGAGAGTCTCGGCACGCTTTATGATACAAGCTTCCAGATGAGTTTGTTTTTACATATTAATTGCACACATATTGACCAAATCTAGAATTGTGTTTTTCTTACTTAAATTTTTATCTTTTACTCAGTAAACTATCATCAGAGGTACAATTGAAGATTTACATAAAATAACTATTTTCATTTGGAAGGAGGGATTCCTTTAGACTAGCACATCGATGAAATGAAAAACGTGTCCATGACTCCAACAGTTTAAATCTGAAGCAACCATAGCTGCTCTGATAATTTAGAAAGAAAACAAAAAGTCCAATTTGAAAGTCCTAATACCAATGTGCTGGTCCTGGAGAAAAACAACCGGAAGAGTTCAAATTTTTAACTACTCAAAGCTATAGGCAACTATTTCTATATAATAACCTTTTTAGAATTTTTACTGTATTGAATAACATAACTTCAGGGTAAAATAAGCCTTTTCTCAATATAACCTATTCTTATTTCTTTAGTTCTCTCTTATTAATCTTTTATTTGTAAAGAGAAAGAATAAGACTGTAATTTATACTAAAAATTTTTACTCAAAATCTCATGAATTCTTAGCTCATAAAACCCAAGCCTAGTATAATTTATTCAATAATCATGATGGGATTAATCAATTTATTAATTTAAAAAAGAAACAGTATACACCATGTTGAAGTCATAAATTTTTGAAAGTCTATGACCTTGAGCATTTAAAATGACACAGGAACCTAACAGAGGACTGAGAACTACTTAATAAATCTTACTACACTGACGTAGTCATTCGAAACACAGACGCACAGGTCCGCTTGAGTCTACCAGCTTACTCACTATTTAATACAATCTAAATAGCTCCCAATTTCAAGACAATTCAATTTTTTTCTATTTTTCAATTACAAATTAAAGGTTTTATGCTCAATAACATAAATAGATCTTAATACAATGTAACTAGGTTGTAAAGAATAAGAATTTTAATTGAGAATCTACAGAAATCAGAAAACAGTGTGAAGATACAAAAAAATCATTCTGCCTTTTAGTCACAGAACAGGACTAACAATACATAAAATTCTTTTGAACATTATTATAGAAGTTACGCAGAATATTTAAGAAATACAAATTATACTTTAGATACTAGATGGTATATCATAAACTTCAGAATATTAGTCTCTAATTACACCAATTTATTCATAATAAAATTTTAGGTAACTTTTAGACAATTATGGGTTCATCATATTAAAATACAACGGCTTTTCAACTTTAGACATTTTAATCTTAAGGAGTATGTCTGAGATCACCTTCCTTCCACTCCTTAGACTTACCATTATGCACATTCATCTGCTGTGTTGTATTCTTTGTACTTCTGATCCGTGGGGATGTTTAGCAGCACACTAAATTAACTCCACCTATAAGGACTTAATTTCTTGTACAGGCTTTTAACGTTATTTTTTCTTCCTGTCAAATGCTAAAAGGAATGCAATATTTCCTTTTATAATATTAAGTTTAATACTCTAACAATAAAACTTCACTTACCTTGGGTCTAAAGTTAGTGGTTGGGCCCACAAACTCATGCTGAGCTTTTACAGTACCCCAGGGATGATAAATTTTGAAGCATTCATTGCAGTAGCTTGCACTACAGTCCATGCAACTTTTTGTGGATTCTTGAGGTGGTGGTTTACAAAGGTCACACATAATGGCTGTGGCTGCCCTGGCTGCCTGCCGATATTTCTCGACAATAGTTTCCAAAGTAAAATTTCGAAAGAGACCATTGATTCCTCGTTCTCCAAGATCCACGTCATGCTCACAGCCAGGGCAAGGAAAAACAGTTGTCCTCGGGGTCAAGGAATTGCGCTTCCAGCCTGTGTGATTAGTAAGTCCTTGTTCAGTTACATCAGTAGGAAAATGAATAGAATGAAGAAAAAAAGAATGATGTTTTGGAACAATATATATCTACAAATATATTCCAAAACTGTAATGCTCAAAGTAGCTCCCTTTGAATCAATCTGTATTTGAAATGCTTTTTTAAAAATATTTTCCCTTGGTAAGTAAAAGACAGACCCAAGTTACCAAACAGTTATTATAAACCAAAGAGAAAAATATTCTATAGTAAATTCCACATACAAACCATTTTAAATCAAACAGATATATGGACAAAATATACAGGGTCTGGCAGAAGTAACACCTGCTTGAGTGTGGTAGGTAGGGTAATAATGTGGGTGTAATAATTTATAGTTTTAACTTGAACATTTCACCTAAAATGTCATATGGTGTGCTTGAGTGTGATATTGATATGTTACAGAATTACATGCTTATGATTTTGTAATAAAAAAGGGTGTTATTTGTGCCAGACCTTGTATAATACAATACTACACAGGGTCAGGATCTTTTGAAATTATATAATTAACACTTACAGTTATTTTTATATATCATATCCAAAGGAATCTGACTTCCATTCAAATGAACACAGTGTGGGCTGTGTGATTAAAAAACAATTCCTACATAAAACAGCAGGAGTCCTTAACCTGGGGCTCCATTGTCAGGCTCCGAAAGATCCCAATAGTTTTACAAACAATTAGAGATTATATGCAAATTTTGCATATTTATACCTATGTATATTTCCTGCTTAAATAACCCATATCTTTTATCAGATTCACAAAGGAATATGTGACCACAAAATTGTTAAGAACCACTGCCAAAGAGAGCTTCCCCCTGTAGTGTTGTTTATCTGGGAAAATTCAGTAGGTCACATCATTGGCTAATTGAGTGCAGTCAGTAAGAGTGAAAAAAAAAAGCTCAATCATAGACCTAGAATCTAGTGACTGACTATAGAAGGGACCAACCATTTAGTATCTTCTTATGACCTGAAAAAAAGAATCACTGAGGTTACTTCATTCAGTAAGCCAAAAGTTACCCCAAAAGTATTATAAATAACTTTATAGTATATACACAATACAATGAATGACCTTAAACATCACACTATTATCAGTATTATCCTCACTTAAACAAACCATAACATGGCAATCCTGACCCACAAGTGCACAAAGATCCAGAGTTGTACATTTAACATAGGTGCATGCACACCAAGCCCCTCCTCTCATTTATAAACCTATTCTTAGAGTATGTAATCTTGGTTACCCACAAAAGAACTACCTAAAAATAAACACAAACTTCTTACACTACAGCCTTCTTTAATACTGCCATGCATCCAGACCAAAAATGAATGGTTAAACTTAGTGTACCACAGCTTGAAAAGGTCTTTAAGCAGCTATATTAATGTTGTCTTGGCACGGTAACATTATCACTGAAAAGACTGTCTTAAAAAGTGCCTGGCATGATATATATACAGGTAAAATTGGGCAATCGGCTCCCAGTGTTATTCGTTTAAGATGACTTTACAACATGCCAGATGGCATTGGGCCCTGAAAGCTAGTTATACAACAAATATGCAGAATATTTTTAATATTCCATTAGAGATATTTGTTGGGAAACTCTCTGCCTGGTTTCAGGAGTTGTAACTGCCCCCCATGGCTAAAGCTGAGTGAGTGACCTCCAGAATACAAGCCACTAAGGAGACAAAGTTTATCTCTGGCATCAGCACTGCTTCTGCTTCATCCCCTGCTCCCAAGGCTTGGTTGGTTAGTCAGAGACGGGTAAGACCCCTCAGAGAAGGGGCAACCTAAGCCAGACACTATCACTTGGGAGGCTATCAAGGAAGGACTCAGGGGGCTGCAGCAAAGAGGGTATGATGGACCCTCGCCCCCCAGCTATTCTGACACAGCCTGAGTCCCCACTTCCACCTGGGAGAAGCACTTCCTGGCTCTATCCACTTAAGCCTAAAAACCTATGACTGAGAAGGTGGTGCAGCCCCTTGCCAGCTAGAGTGGGTTCCGGGGTGATTGGGCATAAGAAAAAATTCCTAAAGTCCTGTGAAACCTGCTTTGCTAAGAGTGCTTTCATTCATATAATAAGGGTCTGAGCAGAAAATGAGCATGTCTCCCAAAGTTTTTGCAACCCCCTTACCTGACAGACACTGACTCAGACTAAGCCCTCAGATTTCTTTGAAATGTTATCTATTGTTTGATCCCTGCTGCCTGACACTGACTGATGAGCTTTACCTGTACTCCTGTTTATTACAACCTAATAAAAGCCACTGAAGAAGAGGTTCTTGGTCTTTCTCCTCTGAGAGATTGACCACCACTCCTCCCCAAGCAGATCATGTCTTGGTAGTTTCACTTTCATCTGTGGCTGGTGGGGGGACTTGCTGGCAAAGTTGCCCCCACAGATATTTTAACCTTTACATTTTTAAACACACAGAAAAAAGCACACCAAAAAAGGTGCCCCATAAAAATCTGAAAATCCTACATAAAATACATTCTTGTACTAATTCTAAAAACATGCAAGACAGTCCAAGATGTTTCACAACATAGCAGGCATATAATAAAATAAGCAGCAAAGCTGTTTCTAAAACACATGCCAATCAAAATTTCATTTAGTGAAAAAACAAGCTACATAATTCTGGAAGTGATACAGTGCAGTGGTCAAGTTTAAACAAATGGAAATTCATATTCAATTGCACGCTTTCACACATGAACTAGGTAACAGAAATTAAAATGGTTAACTAACTCAACAGTCAATGTTTTTTTAAAAAATGGGTTATTATTGGTTTTATGTACTGAAGGTTGTGATCCATTGAGTAATAGGATGAAGAAAAATTAAATCATGCTTTAACATGTACACTAGTGACGCCCAAAGTTTGGCCTTCATGTTCAGAAGTTTTAAAAAGTTTCATCCCTTTTCTGTAAACCTCTTTTAATTTATAATAAAAAGTAAGGCATAAAGCATCATAATAAACTTCTTAATACAACCAAATATTTAATCAATATCATCTATTTTTGTAAACATTTTAAAAGCACTCAATTTTTTTCAAATGCTAAAGAACGAATATATTTTTATTTTGTCTATCTTTGACTTCTACCATTGTTTTCGGAAAAACAACCAACAGAATACGTGTTCAGGGCAACAAGGAACACAGGACCTATTTGAGGATGTTCTGGGAAGTAAACCCAATAAAGAAAAATCAAGGAGTGGAACTAAGAATAAAATGTAATGTAAAATGTTAATAGAATTAACTTTTTACTCTCCATAGCTGTGCTGTCCAATACAGTTAGTAACCATAGCCAAATATGGCTATTGGAATTAGATTTAACTCCTATTAAATAAAAAAGGAACTTCCGTGGTTGTACCAGCCACATTTCAAATTCTCAAGAGCCACATGTAGCTAGTGGCTGCCATCAAACATTTGCAAGATTGTAGAAAGTTCCATTGGATAATATTGCTCAGTAGCATGGTATGAAAAAGAAAAGTAATAAGGCTCAGAAAGGCCAAGCAATGCAATTTGAAGTCAATCTACATTTGTGGGGTCAATAATATACGCAAATGATTTGAATACTGTCATCTTTGAATACAGAATCAATCCTTTTGCCCATATAACTTTAGTTCAAAAAACAAATTAAATCAAGTATAAATTGATACAATTTAAAAATGAAGACTCCAAAATATCTTCAAATTGGTTTATAGCAAATCCCCCCAAAAGTCAGCTTTCAGTCATATATTTTACCATTTAACTATGAAAGAGAAAAGAAAGTATTTCAAAACAAAGACAGTCAATACATAACAGGTTCAGAAACTCTGCTAGCTGCATCCTCTCCCACATTCCAGCTAGAATCAATTTCCCCAGTGTTCCCGCCTGGCATGGCAGTCCGCGGACGACCTCTCCACACCCAGGATGTTCACGTTGGGTTTCTTGGTGTTTGGCAATGGCTTGATATTTATACTGCTACCCTAATGTTTCTTTTGCACACTCTGACCATCTGATTCCTAATTATTGAGGATTATTAGACTTTTCAACTGCAATACCTTTTCCTCAACTACTAACTTAATCAAAAACAGGTAATAAGCAATGAACTTTTAAAAAAGCAAATTGCTCCTACCTTTCCTCCTAATTGCTATATTTCAATGTTTAAAATTCTCAGAGACTCATTAAAGCAGAATGCAATTTTGACTCCTTTTTTTTAAAGATTTTCTTTCTTTTTAGAGAGAGGGGAAAGGAGAGACAGAGGGAGAGAGACACCAATGTGTGGTGGCCTCTCGCACAGCCCCTCCTGGGGACCTGGCCCACAACTCAGGCATGTGCCCTGGCTGGGAATTGAACCTACAAGCCTTTGATTTGCAGGCCTGTGCTCAATGCACTGAGCCAAACCAGCCAGGGCTTATTTCAACTCCTTAACTCTTCTAAGGAGTGGCTACATTTATACAGTCTTAAAATTATTTTGGCCCTTTGAAGGCAACTGTGAGGCTGATGTGGCCCCCAGGGAAAATGAGTTTGACAGCCCTACACTAAAGCCTGTTGAGAAAAAAGATTCCATGTGGCTTCTAGTAGTGACTATAAGATTTTAAAATCAAGGCATGTAGAGGAAGACAGAAAAGGGATAACATTTCAGATGTTTATTTTCTCCAATAAAATATAAGGTATCACCAGCATTTTTCTCTCTCTCTCACACACACACACACACACACACACACCAATTTTACTTTAAAGGTCAACTGGAGTAAGTAAAAAAAAAATTGTTTTTTTAAAAAAGATAGACTGGTCCACCTTTTATATAGAAACAAATACTTCAGAAAGCCTTAAAAAGCAGTGTATGTTACTTATCCACAAATGGGTAAGACCTCAATGTTACAAATCAAATACTTTAAAACGTGAACAAAGAAAAGACACCATATGTACAAAACAAGCAAAGACTATTTTTAACTACAAAAATTCTTGGCATCATTAAGCAAATTTTTAAACACAAAAGCA